ATCTATCTATCTATCTATCTATCTATCTATCTATCTATCTATCTATCTATCGTATCATTTCTCTTTCTCTCCCTCTCTCTCCCTCTCCATCATCATCATCATCATCTACGTTTTCTAAGAAATTATTGGATGGCTAAATATCAGCATTTTAGCTAGGAGACAAATATCTGTAAAAAAAACATTGCAAACCATATTTCCTCTGTAGCTGTGCAAATGTTATCTTTTCCATGGCTGGAATCTTCCTTTTCCCAGAGTGTCATCTTGACCATCTCATGCCAATTTGAAGCTTTCTTTCTTCCATTCTAATTGCCCATCTTTTGAGGAAAATTCACCTTTTGAAGGTATTGTTTACAAGTTTCCAATCACCATAGAAACTCATGATGTAGTTCAGGTTGCCCATTCCAACATTCTGTTTCCTTGTTCTTTTGTTCTCCTCAACAGAATATTCAGTGATATTCCAATATCACACACAGGATGATTGCCAAATCTCCATTATCTGTTTCTGACATATACTTGGGTAGAGTGGTCAACAAACACTATGTCATACTTGATTCCCACAGAGATATGAACAAAAATTGAAAAAGATGAAATGAAAATATCTGTTGCATGTTTGTTTTGCTTGTGGTTCTCTTTGCATTTAATTAAGCAGCTATACTTAAGTAAGAGCCATGCTGGCACAGCGGTTAGAATGCAGTATTGCAGGCTAACTCTGCTCACCTTGCCAAGAGTTCAGTTCCCTCGATCCTGACCATCCTTCCATCCTTCTGAGGCTGGAAAAATGATGACCCAGATTGTTGGGGCAATATGCTGACTCTATAAACTGCTTAGAAAGCGCTGTGAAGCACCATAAAGAAGCATCTAAGTCTAAGTGCTATTGCTATGCTGTAATGCAGAATCTTTGATGTTGTGATGTCTAGCATTTGAAATAGTTATTTATTAGCTGTAAACTTGAAGGTAAGCTGCAGTTTTAATTCCTTTGTTATATTTATTTAACCTTTCCTGATATACATACAGCATAGTTTGTTGTTCAAGAACTCCCTATGCATGGATAACTTCATAGCTTCTTGATCTTGGATTGGAAGATTTTCTAATAAAAGTTACCTCATGGTCTTCAGCACAACCCATCTGTCCAGCCTTGACTCAGGGAGAAGTCATCGTTTAAATTTAAATCTCTACTTTGGTTGACTTTTTAAGGTTCAGGTGAAAATTCAGAAGCTATCAAAATAAGCATTAATAGCTGCTTCTTACCTTGGTCTTTCATGGGACAAATAAGTCATAAAGATTCAAACAGTCGCCTGGCAATGTGAAACAGATCTTAGGAACACAAGCAAATGTTGCCATTGGCACGAAAACCTTCAGCTATTCTTTCTTTTCTTTAGCGCATTTACTTCCCTGTCTCTAGCAGAATCAGAGAGAAATTAGATGACCAATGACTTTGTCAGCTCTTGTTCTTACTAGACCCATGCAAAGTTCATCCATTAAGGTTTCTTAATAAGAGTGGAAATAAGAGTTAGCTTGGAGCAGAGATATTTTGCAGCCATTACGTGCCTAGAACAGGGGTCCTCAAACTTGACAACTTTAAGACTTGTGGACTTCAACTCCCAAAATTCTCCAGCCAGCTGGCTGGAGAATTCTGGGAGTTGAAGTCCACAAGTCTTAAAGTTGCCAAGTTTGGAGACCTCTGGCCCGAAGGATTGCTGCAGAAGTTGATTTTAAAGATATGAATGTTATTTTATTCTTCCTTCTCTTTGGTTTATTAATAGTAAACCTTTTTTCTTTTTTCAGTTTTAAAAATAATTCATTGTAATTTGCAATTTCATAATTTACTGTATGATTTAGACTGTATCATTTGCTATTCCCGATAGTTATATTCTGCATTTTTAAGAGTGTCTTTGGAGAAATCAAAGATAAAAAAGGAAAAAGAAATATTGCAGAATTTGCTAAAGCACCTCTCCCAGATTAAATGGCATTCATATAGGTAGTCCTTGACTGACAACAGTTCATTTAGTGTCCATTTAAAGTTAAAACGGCACTGAAAAAAATGACTTAGGGCCATTTTTCACACTTACGACCTTGTAGTATCCCTACAGTCATGTGAACAAAATTTTATGTTTATGACAGCTGCAATGTCCTGGTGATTCACTTAACGTCTGTGGCAAGAAAGGTCATAAAACGGGGCAAAATTCATTTAACAAATGTCTCACTGAGCAACAGAAATTTTGGGCTCAGTTGTGGTTGTAAGACAAGGACTCCATGTAGTTTTAAGGTTCTTTCCTATGCAAAAAGAATAGATAGACCTTGGTGCGGTGCAGAGTTTATATCTGGTGGAATATCTGCTCTTACATGGAGTCAGAATAAAATTCGAGCTCAGAAAAAAATTCTCTCAGGTAACTCAGCTTGTTTCTGAATGTATGAGTTCTCATGTTTGCAGGAAATATATCCAATCTGTATGATAACAGCTGAATGTATATAAAATTTGACAGTTGTATAGATGGAGAGCTAGGATATGGCTCATTGTCCAGAATTCTTAACTCTAAAGAAAATGTTGAAACCTCTTATTGATTTCAACAAGATCCAGTTGCAATCATCAATTTATATCTGCTATGTCAATACAAACTGTGTAGTACAAAAAGAGACGTTTTTTTATTGGTGGTGCATTGTTTTTTGATTTTGAAAAAAAAAGTTTTTTTTTTAAAAAAAAAGATAAAATGGAAATCAATGCTATATTTGTCCACTATTTATCTTTGCTCCAGGAATTCAGGTGGCCTACACAGGACTCCATCCTCTGATTTGTTCCCCATAACAACCATCCTGTGAAATAGGTTGGGCTCAGTCTAGACAAGGAAAGTTCATAATGCTGCAGAATCTTATCACAAAAGAAGAATCAAAAGAATCCTGCGCGCATTGTTATAGCCGTGCCTTGAGCCTTCTCATGGGCACCATTCAGGCCCTCCTCTGTTGTCCAGTAAATATCCTAATGCGAGCTTTGATTTACAACAATAGATTTCCTTACTTAGAGATGGGTTGACTGAACATTTTGCTGTGATGGGATTGGCTCCTGGTTAGCAGTGTGAGGTGTTCCAGAAGACATCTTGGATTCCAGGTATTCGACTACTCCATATAAGACCATTGCCACAATCAGTACAGTTAACAGAATGTACAGCTTGATGGAGACACTTAAGAAGGTGCTGTAGCCAAAGGCTATGACAAAGCCCAATGACTCCCAAAGGCGGTAATTTGCAAAAGCTGCCTCTTTGTGCTTCTCAAATAAAATTCCATAGAGAGCTATAAAAAATATAAATGAGAGAATGATATCAGATAACCTTTACAACACCAAATCAGATGTATGTCTTTTTAAACAACAGTTGTCACCTATTTCAAACAAAGGTGATTCTGCATTAAAAATCTTTTATTATACTTCTCCTTTTGTATCAAGTATTGGCAGGGCATTCTGTTATAGATTGGGGTACCTTTTATGGCCGCATCAGGGAATGTTCTGATCGCATCAAACACTTTGGTTTCCCATATCTCTGCTCTGAATGGCAAGACTTTATTGAATCTTTTCTCTTTTTAGACAGAGAAGTGGGTTTTCTTTCATTTGCTGCTTGAGATATTTTTAGCTTTGCAAATTTAAATGCAGCGTACACACATTCTGAACAAATGTACTGGGAATGAATGAATCTGAATCCTGCATTTCTGTAGGTATGCTTTAGGGGGAGCTCTTGATTAGTAGTAGCTCCCAACTGTAAAAGATAGCTTTGAGAGTGACTTCCTTTGGTTCTGAATGCTGATGAATGTTTGACCATTCTCCTTAAAATGTGATGATTCTTTGGTGAGAGAGCTGGGCCAAGGCTCAGCAATGTTACTGGCTCATATATATATATAAGGCTCAGCAATGTTACTGGCTAATTAATATGTATGTATGTATGTATGTATGTATGTATGTATGTATGTATATATGTATATATGTATATGTATATGTATATGTATATGTATATGTATATGTATATGTATATATATATATATATTAGATCGATCAATAGATAGATAGATAGAGATATACAGAGATAGATAGATAGATATAGATTAGAGATAGAGAGATAGAAAGATAGATAGAGATATACAGAGATAGATAGATAGATAGATAGATAGATAGATAGATAGATAGATAGATAGATAGATAGATAGATAG